GGTGCTGCTGATTGATGTGTGACATTGTAATAATTTATCATTAATCAGAAAAACCTAATTCGGTGAGACCCCGATTATTAGTAGAACCCCGGTATCGACATGACCCCAATTATAATGTTCGTTATAGCGAGCATTTTTTTAGTCTTTACACATGTAGGTATACTATTAGACAAATGCTATGTAAATATATCACTCATTACGCTAAAAACAACGAGTAACACAATACACTGTAACAAAGTGTAGTCACATTACAAGCTTTGCCGTGACAACGTGACAAAAACGCCGTGACTCGTCTCAACAATAAATAGCCCTGTTTGGTCGGCAAGAATTTTTTGTTCAGAAACCTTGCTGGGTAGGATATTTTTTTCACTTCTCTGCAGGCTGTGCAGTGTATTTTGTTCCCTTCTCATTTCTCTGCAGGATTTTTTTCCTCAAAAAGGGTCGGTCCAAGTCTGATTTATACCTAGTTTTTTGAAAACCGGGGTACTAAAACATGTCAGTCTCTCGCACTGATTGGTAATTTACTTTAAATCTCACCTCAAAAAGAAATCCTTTAATACAAGTCCCTCCCAGCGTGGCCCATGATCACGTTAGAGGTTCTGATCTGGCTTAATAGGATAAAAAGGCGGATATCGGGAAACCCGAAGGCTTCCAATCCATGGACTATAGAGGTGAAGCGTGACCTCCCCCAAGAAATACTTGAAGTTTAGTGAAGTCTGTGCAGGGTGGGGTGTTAGTGGAGGACAATGTGATTAAATACACTCAAAGCAATTTCTCGAAGTTTTCTGGCATCCCTCAGAGTGAAGTCGCGAATAAACTTAAGAAAAATTTTGGCGGGAACCGTAAAGGTTTTAAAGCAGAGGTGCTTGCGAGCCGGGAAAAGCCTTTTTCTACAGCCTACAATTGCAAACGAAAGCAGGTAACTCTAGTTTGCAAGTATGGATGTTGGAATGGCTTTGGGTACAGTTTTCATGGGTAGTAAAATATGATATTTAATTACCTTCTCTCTTTTTTTTCTCTTACTATAAAATAATTATACAAACTATTCTTAAGTGTTTTAATTTTGTTAAAAATTCATTGTAACTGATGAACTTGTCTTTCTGCCCCAAAAGTAACTGTCTCTAAGTAGCAGAAACGTTATAACTCAGAGTCAGAAATTTGCAGCAATCACTTCTTGTTTGAGACGTGGAGTTGTAAGACTGTTGTATCAGCCCCGTACTCCTATTTTTGCACCAGACAAAATTATACAGAATCTGGTGCAGGGTGATACAAGTTTTCTTCTTCTTTGTTTTTTCGAGAAGTTAGAAGTCTGTTACTTCTGGGACCCGAAGGAGTCTCATACAAGATTTCCAAGAATAATAATTACAGTGACTGATAGCCACTGTCCTCTAATGAAGCAATATTTTAGTATTCTAATAATTATTATTATGATTATCATAATTGGTGGATCTCAGTGAAGATACTAATTCACCTATTTGTCACTAGGAATCTTTGTCGTTTCCTACACATCCACTCAGCAAGGCATAAAGGCATATGTTCATGCTGCTATGAAAACTGTCAAACAATATTCATGGCTCACCAGTGGTTTAATCAGTCACAGCAAAATACCCAGAAATGTTGTACATGTAGCTGTTGACAGTAGAAGAATGACTTTCCCTAAGGCACCTACAAATATATCACTGACTGTTAAACCCAGAGGGGGGTTGGGCTGAGATTTTAAGGTGAATGAATGTTTGCCTCTCGGGGTTGTTATCACACGTGATAAAGTGCCTTTGCCTGACATCAAAGTATGCCTTTCTTATTAGACATCTTGATCATCAGCCTTGCTGGGAAACAAACAACTGAGTCAGATATGCACACCCCAACCCACCCTCTGAGAAAGTGCAAAATACATTGTAACACAGGCGGCCCAGACGTAGTGTGTCAATATATTAATATTCACGTGGACAAAATGGGATGAGTCGTCGAAACTCCCAGGAACTAAAAAAGTCCAAAAGTCAAAATATAACAAAACGAAGCTAAGATACCTTTAACTGGACGTCTCCTTCTTCTTCCTGGCCGGTTAAAGTGGCATTTTGTTGAGTTTTGCAATTGTAGCCTTTAATTCTCCTTTAGTGAATAGTACCTGGCTACAAATCAAACGGA